GGCGGATGATGAGGGCCGTGTTGTACAGGTTGCTGCGGGGTGGTGGGGGTGGGGAAGAGGAAGGGGTATGGGGGGAGGCATGCGTGTGAGTGCGCAGGTGTAGTGTACGTGTGTGCGACTGTGTGACTGTGTGCCTGGGTAGGGTGCGCAGGAGAGCTTGCTTGAGGGGAAGGCTGCGGCGAGCGGGGTCGATGGTGGGTGCGGCCGTCGCGATGGGTGCCGTCAAGACGGCTGCGCCTGGAATGTTTGGTGAGGCACGCCGCGCGAGGTGGGCGGCTGTTTGCGGCCGGCGGGGCGGGCAACACACACTGCCTGGATGGTCACACAGGGCGAGCTAGGAGCAGCTTGCGAGGGCCGAGATGCCCACAAGGCGGCGCATTCCCTCCCCGCCCTGCCCTGCTACTCAAAAGACACATGGCCGGGACGCAGTCCCAGCGCCCCCGCCTCCCCTGCGCCGTCCAGCCCCTTTGAGCAGGGGCCGCGGCCAGGGGAGCGTCGGGGCCCAGCCCCGCCGCGCCGCCCTGCAGCCCGTCCACAAGCAGCTCCTGGTGTCCCGCCACCCGCATGGAGCCCCCCTGGGGGTTGAGGCAAGCGGCACTCACATGAAGTTGTACAGGCCCGTCGAGAAGACAGTCTCCACCACGCCGTCGCCGGGGATGATCGCCGCGAAGGGCGCCGCGCGGCGGCGCAGCGCGACCGCTGGCGGCGCGCGGTCGCCAGCCGCCGGCACGCGGCGCGGCGCGGAGGCGAGGGCCGGGAGGCCCCTGGGGTGGGTTGGGAGGGTGTAGGGGCGCCCCAGGAGCTCATGCATGCTGGGGATGTGCATGCCCCTACCTAAGCTGGGCAGCTGCATGCGCATGACGCATGGCAGAGGCTGGTCCCGCATGGCGCGCCGCGACATGCACCGCCTGCGCCGCCTCTGTGGCATGGGTGGTGGCCAGCAGGCGGGGTCCGCACCTGGCTGCGGGCTGGAACACATTGGTTGCCCAGCGCTGCAGGCGCTGCAGCTGCTCAGCCAGCGGGTTGTGCTCCATTTTACAACGGGCTGGCGAGGATCGGGGGTGTGGGGTCGGGGACCGTGAGGAGGGGGTCCCGCAGAAGATCAAACAAGCAAAAGCGGCTCCTGCCTAGCACATTGGTGATCATCAAAATCCAGGTCTCCAAGGTGCTCTCCAACTCACCGGAGGCGAGTCGAAGCTGACCGTGTGATGATCTCCAAGTGTTCAACGTGCACAGCACACTACTCAACTGGCGACAGATATATCATTGCCTGCAATTGAACCACATCTCAAAGATTGTTTTGCACCAGCGTCACACCCGCTCTCGGTGTCCCGATAAGCCTCGTGCTGACCACGCATAGCCCATCATTTAGAGAGAAACAGGGCGATTGTCATCATCACTGCGCTGCAAGCAGCAACGCATCTACGATCGCAATGAGCGGCATGATGAGCAGCAGCAGCGGCCCGACCGTGAGTGGAGGACGACGGCGCCCCGCCACCACCGCAAGTCATCACTGCATGCCCGTGTGCAGCAGCAAGCGCCCGCAACTGCGCCAGCCATCACAGCTGCAGCAACAACAGCATCGGATTGGGGGGCGTTGCGATGCGGTCCTCTGGGTGACGCGCGGCTCACGAGGCTCGCAGGCGGCGGCAGGGCTGTCTGCGCAGGCGGCCGAGCACGGCGCGTCCAGCCGGTGCGGCCTATTTTGTTGCATGACATGCAGGGAGGGCTTTGCGGCCATGCATGCTGCTGGCGGGAGTGCGCTCCTCGTGTCGTGTTGGGCAAAGGAGCAGGGTGCTTAGACTCCAGGGTGATAGACCGCTTGCGTCGCAGCCGAGTGGCAGGCGCATGCATGGCACGCGCATGGATTGCTGTGCATCATGGCAGCGGCCGATCGACCGCGGGGCCCAGGGGCCCCACAGCCGGTTCAGTGCCGCCTAATGCGCCGGGCACCGCCCCCATGGCAGGCGCTTCCACGAGGGCGTCACCATGACCGCCTATGAGGGCAACAGCTTCAGTGTGAAGTTCAACCAGAGCGGTGCGCGGACGCCCACTGCGATAACGCTCAAAGCTGCGGCTTCGCGGGGGCAGGCAAAGAAAGGGTTGGAGCGCAATTGTCAGGGGCGGTGGGCGGAGAGGGCGGGGCGAGGAGCGGAACGGCCCGCAGATGCAGGAGGGGGCCAAGCTGACCCACTGCCTGGGCGGCAGCACCCGCCATTTTTATCAGCACTTAACAGCTCCTCGCCATGTCCCTTACAGCTACAGCCCCCCTCCGCCCTGCTGCCACTCGGTTTGTTTCCCAGGCGTGCGCGTGCTGGTGGACCCCTGGCTGATATCAGACCTGACGTTCTTTGAGCAGGGCTGGGCGTACCGCGGCCGCAAGAAGGTGCTGGGGCCCGGCCGCGTCAACGTCGATGAGGTCGCCGGGGAGACTGACGTCATCCTGCTGTCACAGGTGGGGGGTGGCACGCGCGACCATGGGGGGGAATTGTTGGGAAACGGTGGAATGCGTGTGTGCGTGCGTGCGTGCGTGCGTGCGTGCGAATGCGCGCTGCTGCGCGGGTGCGGGGGTGCGTGCATGCAAACGTGCTTGCGCAGCAACCGCGGCGTGACGAGCGCGCATGGTGCATCTGTGAGGTTGCCGCACACCCCCCTTGATAGCTTGACTGAAAGCTGTCCACCTGACCCACCTCCACGGCCGCACATCGACAACCGCTGACAACCGGCGACTCATGATTAGTACCTGGACGACCACACCCACATGCCCACCCTGGAGCGCCTGCCCAAGACTATCCCCGTCATAGCGCAGCCCGAGGCCGCCGCCCGCATCGCGCCGCTGGGGTTCAAGGACGTCACGGCAATCAAGCCCGGCCAGGAGCTGCCGATCGCAGGCGGCCGCCTGCGCGTGCGCGCGACGGCGGGCGCGCTGGTGGGGCCGCCGTGGAGCGCGCGGCAGAACGGGTTCGTGCTGAGGGAGGCTGCGGGGGAGGGCGTCGCGAGGCCGGCGAGCCTTTACTACGAGCCGCACTGTGGTGGGTGGCGGTGGGGGTTGCATGACTGCGTTTCTGTTGTGGTGGACGTGCGGCCGTGGCTGAGGAGGGGGGGGCTATGTTGGGGCATGGGTTCGCTGCAGCGGCCACCGACGGTTGCGGCAGAGAGCGAAGGCGCGGTGCTGCCAACCCTGCTACTGCTGAAGGGAAGACCTCGCTCGCCCCTCCCTATGCGACCCCACTAAACCTCTCCTGGTGCGCCGCCCCTCCCCCGTCCATTGCAGATTTTGACGAGTCGAGCGTGCGTGAAGTGGGCCGCGTGGATGTGGTGGTGTCACCCGTGCTGGACGTGCTGCTCGGGGGTTACCCCCTGGTCAAGGGGGATCAGGAGCTGCCGAAGGTGGGGCTGGGGCCCGCGAGTGGGGCTGGGGTCATTGCATTAAGGGGTTTGGGTGGTGGGGGTGGCGGG